GCTGCACTGGCTCCCGGTGGAGTACAGGGTCAGATTTAAGTTGCTGCTTTTGACCTTTAAAGCCCTTCACGGCCTAGGACCCTCGTACCTACGGGACCGCCTCTCCTGGTATGCCCCACGGAGAGCCTCAAGGTCCATAAATAACAACACCCTAGTGGTCCCAGGCCCTAAGGAAGTTAGATTGGCTTCAACCAGAGCCAGGGCCTTTTCAACTCTGGCTGATGGAACGCTCTGCCTCATGAGACCAGGGCCCTGCAGGATCTGATTTCTTTCCGCAGGGCCTGTAAGACAGAGTTGTTCCGCCTAGCCTTTGGCTTGGAATCAACTTGATTCCCTCCCTCCCTCTCTTTCTTTTTTCTTTTCCTTCTCCTCCTGTGATGAGGCTACATTTTAATATTTTAATGTTCCATTATTTTAATGTTGTATTTTATTTTTGTTTTTAAGTTGTAATCATTCATCTTGTTTTTTATTGCTTGTAAGCCGCTCTGAGCCCGGCCTTGGCTAGGGAGGGCGGGGTATAAATAAATTATTATTATTATTATTATTATTATTATTATTATTATTATTAGAGTTGTTACACCAGCAAACAAATGGACGGGGAGGTATCCCAATTAGGTACACCATGGCAATATTCTGAATCAAGATACTATCATGATTCTGATGCTTGTCATCTCTGACTAGAAGTGGCTCTGACTAGAAGTTGGAGGCAGGGGTCATTCCCTCCACCTGCTACCTGATTATTATTTTAAAACAAAAAGCAAAAACAAGATGCTAGAGGCTGAACAGTCCATGCTGTGAAACAGTCCATGCCTGAGAAACAGTTTCTATCCAAATGCGATTTTGGTTTTAAACGCAGTGTAAGGAGTCTTTATGGGAGTATATTGTATTTTAGGGGGCTAACCAGGTTGGGATGGCTGGGATAGCAGGCTTGTTGGTTTTTGAATGTCTTATGTAGATTTTTCAATTTCGTTGTTCTGTATGACAATGACATACAGGGACAATGACAATAAAGATTATCGTATCGTATCGTATCATGTTGCATAGCCTGGCTCTTCCTCTAAGGATCCTAAATATTTGGCTGAGAAATACTCTGAACTAAATTTAACAACTTTCCATCCATGGTGGTGGTTGATTACTACATTCAACTTACTCAAATTCTCAAGTGCCATAGTTTTCACAGTCTACCAGCTTCCTCATCTTTATTTCCTATACAGTAAGGGATAGAGCTCCATGAAAGTATCACCTCCAGATTTTTTAATGGTATCCAAACAGAAGAAGAAGAAGAGTTTGGATTTGATATCCCGCCTTTCACTCCCTTTAAGGAGTCTCAAAGCGGCTAACATTCTCCTTTCCCTTCCTCCCCCACAACAAACACTCTGTGAGGTGAGTGGGGCTGAGAGACTTCAGAGAAGTGTGACTGGCCCAAGGTCACCCAGCAGCTGCATGTGGAGGAGCGGAGATGCGAACCCGGTTCCCCAGATTACGAGACTACTGCTCTTAACCATGATTTTGTCACATTTAAGTTGCTTACTCACCATGAGCTCCATTTGTCATTTCTTTCATCCTGTAAAATGGCATCACAGCTCTCCTTTTATCGGACAAAGGCTGAAGTGTATGTCACTGTGTAGCAGATAGCCCAAGATTTTGATCCTCTGTCAGTATGTTTTGTTTTGTTGGCCTACTTTTTCACTTTTGTTTTTAGGAGCATTTAGTTAACTCTGAACAAAAAACCATACCTCCCTGTTTGGCTATCAGTGATCAAATTTGATATGGTTGTTATTTGACCATACTGTATTTCGTATCTCGCAACCAAAAGCAGGTTTTGTGCACAAGCCGATTCCTATTTTTGCTCTAGACAAAAATCCTTAAAGTCACTGTAGAACTTAGCTGCCTTAAAAGTGACCCAGCAATTACTGTTACTTTGATTTACTACCCAAACAACAATTACAATTAATATTAAAAAGCAAAGTTCCTTCTGTAATTAGATTGTTTATTCATTTGGGTTGAGTGAAGTCAGTTACTCCCTAATACATTGCATACTACAGAAAGTGAGTTTCTAATTGCTAAACTATTCTGTTTCTTTTGACCAAAGGGCATACACACACACAATTCCTTCAGTTTTCCAATCAAATATAAATATGACTATAAGATTTACTATAGCTATAGTATTGATTTTTCTCTGCCTTTTCTTTGGTAGCTTCTAAACATCTTTCTTAGATAAATTGCAAACACACTGCCTCTGATCCTGTACAGAAACTTGTGTTTGCAGAGACAGTTCTGTGGATTTCAATATGATTACTTGTGGCCTTCTTAATAGGTTTTGATAATAACTCTTGTAGGTTCTAAATGGCTCACTATGGCCCATATGAACATAAATTTAAACCTGTAAGAGCAAAAGGGTGGTTATAAACAATCCTTTCAGTAGGATGCTACTGTTGTGCTAAGTCATGGATCAATACAGCCCACATGCCAATGCAGTCCTAATTGCCCTAAGGGCCTGGATGAAAGAAAACTGTAAATTATACTCCAGAATATTGATCCTTAAATAAAAGTTACTGCCTCTAAGTGCTGACGATGTACTTGACACCACTGTGAAAACAGCCTCTTTATACTAGGGGCATGCTGTCCAACATTTATATCCCAGAAAAGTGCTAAGATTATATATTAAGTCTAAAATTACAGTGTAAGCAAATTTTCTTCCAAAATTGATTATAGGGGGGGGGGGGAAAGAACCCTGTTAACTAGGTTCTGCCTAATAAAAGTAAAAATCAGCCCAGATGGGCATGTTGGCCCTCAAAAAGGGGACATGTCTAGGTTTTCCCGGACATATGGCAACCCTAACATAGCCAGTGATGGGACATTAATAGGCATCAAATTCTGTGATGCCCCCTTAATGAAAAAAAAATTTGAACTCTCTGATTATTATTCTTTTTCTAGCAAGGCAAGAAGCAGGGGAGAGAAGAGAAAGAGAGCCATTTTCTTTCTTTGTCAGTGCCGATTCCACTTCTAAAATATTAAATCTAATTTGTAATGTGCCAGCCACCAACTGCAACCTGTGCCCCCCCCATGTGTGTTTAATTTAGTTAATTCACAGCAAAAAGACATCACTGCCCAGTAGCAAGAGTTTGTTTTGGGACAGTTTCTGATAAGCTCCGTATTACAGCTTTCCCCAAGCTGTGATTGAAGTTAAAAGGACAGAGTGGATGAAGAACGTCTTACTCTGGCTCTAGGGAGCAGAAGGAAGTTATCCTGACACCTTAAAGACTATATTTAGTTAAATGTCATATCAATAGATGCAACAGTGCAATTACTGAGGGTGGAAACAGAAATAGAGAAGGCACTTTGCTCCAGTCACTGCACCAGCAACCTGCAACGCTGGAGACCTCCTCCCTTTCCATCATCCACAATGATGCTTGAAATTGGCAAAGTGTTTGAGAGCAGCCAGATTCTATTTGATTTTCGGTTGCTTTGTTCTACAGGCTAAGGCATTTCTTCCTGTCAATGCGTAACTGAGGAGCGGGAGCGCAAGAGAGAGCAAAGAGGTGCACAGCTAAAAGCATTTTTATCTAGCAGGCATCCTGGCTTGTTGCTAAACCCTAATGGTAGGATGGCAAGGCCAAACTATTTATTAATATATGAACAAACTGGTGCTGTCTTTCTTCTCCCAGTCGTTTGTTAATGTGTGAATTCATCAAGCTGATGTAAGACTTAGCCTCTTTGCACCAAGGGGATGGAAGTGACTGGTCAGGTCAGGAAAGAATTAGTCAACTTAGCATGATTAGTTTGGACAACTTCTTGTTGTTTTCAGATTTCCTGAAAGAGTGTCTGGCTAAAATTTATAGTGTTCCAGCACTCCAAAAATTAAGGGAAAATGTATGTATGTCTTATGGAGTGAATGCAGGCTCCTTCGCTTAAGCGATAGCAACGCGAAGCCTCCGAAGCGCAGTGGGAACGCTCCCACCGCGCTCCGGAGGCTTCGGGTTGCCTTCACTGAAGCCTGGAGACCGAGAGGGGTTCCTTTCGCCAAAGGATAGGTGCCCCTTCAGCTAAGGCGCAGTGCCCCTTAAGCGGGAGGAGAAATGGAAGGGGCTCCGTTTCTTCTGCTGCTTTGCTGAAGGGGCGCTGCGCAGAGAGGGGGAGAATTTTTTCTTTCTTGTTCTCCCCCGCTAAAACAAGGTGTGTCCTATGGTCGGGTGTGTCCTATAGAGCAAAAAATACGGTAGTTGTTTAGTTCCCTCAGGAACTGAACGAGAGCGCCCAGAGTAAGGAAAGTGATTCAGAGCACAAGTAGAATGAGAATATTAATATTAATAATACTTTTATTTTCCTTTAATTTCATTGTACACAGGTTTAATTTCACATTGTTTAATTTCATTGTACACAGGTTGTACAATGACAATAAAAGTATTATTATTGTTATTATTGTTGTTGTTATTATTATTACCCTCAGGAACCGAACGAGAGTGCCCAGAGTAAGGAAAAGGATTCAGAGTACAAGTAGAATGAGAATATTCAACTGCTGTTGCAATCAGCTGGCAATGTACAGTGGTGCCCCGCAAGACGAATGCCTCGCAAGACGGAAAACCCGCTAGACGAAAGGGTTTTCCGTATTGGAGGTGCTTCGCGAAACGAATTTTCTATGTGCTTGCTTCGCAAGACGAAAATGTCTTGCGAGTTCCTGCGGGGTTTTTTTCCTTTCCCCCCCTTTTTCCCAAGCCGCTAAACCGCTTATCAGCTGATGGCTAAGCCGCTTAACAGCTGATGCTAAGCCGCTTATCAGCTGATCGTTAAGCCGCTTATCAGCTTATCGTTAAGCCGCTTATCAGCTGATCCACTAAGCCCGCTAAGCCGCTAATACAGTACTGTAGCACTAATCCGCTAATGGGCTTGCTTCGCAAGACGAAGAGACTCGCGGAACGGATTCTTTTCGTCTTGCGAGGCACCACTGTACCCTGCTTTATATGTATATATATGTAGAACAATGGATCTAAAAAGTTACAAACACAGCATCAAGGCCTGCATGTCAACCTTGTTTGTTAAACTTCTTTCCACATCTTTATAACTGGAGCCTGATTCTCTGATTTACAGAGGTTATATTTCATGATTGTGCGTTGTTCTGCCTCTGTGACCCAACCGTTCCTTCAACTCTTCCAGCCTGCCTCTCTACCCGTCGCTGCACGACACAGGTGCAACTTGTAAGTGTAAGTTAGAGGAAATCTTTGTAAGGAGTTCAAGAGCTGTTAGAAAAAAGCTATAACAATTACCTATAAACGTTGTGTGACACCATTCTGTATCCAAAACAAACCACTGACGCATTGTATTTCCATGGAAAACTGGCTTCTATTCATGTAAATTTCTTTGAAATCTACCTTTATCATAAATAAAGAATGCTATTGAATTCTGGTTTTTGTTGGTTTGCGCGGGCCAGAAAATATTCTCCTGTAGGTTTGTTTTTCTTAAAGGAATCATAACTCACCCTCTCCTACCATCTCATCTTAGAATCTTAGAGTTGGAAGGGTCCCAAGGGTCATCTAGCCCAACCCTCTGCAATGCAGGAATTACAGCTAGAGCATCCATGACAGATGGCCATCCCACCTTGGCTTAAAAACCTCCAAGGAAGGAGAGTCCACCACCTCTTGTGGGAGTCTGTTCCACTGCTGAACAGCTCTTACCATCAGAAAGTTTTTTCCGAATGTTTCATCGGAATCTCCTTTCTTGCAACTTGAAGCCATTGGTTCGGGTCCTAGCCACTGGAGCAGGAGAAAACAAGCATGCTCCCTCCTCCATGTGACAGCCCTTAAGATATTTGATATGGTTTTCCCAGTAGTGATGTATGGTAGTGAGAGCTGGACCATAAAGAAGGCTGATCGCCTTAGAATTGATGCTTTTGAATTATGGTGCTGGAGTCCCATGGACCGCAAGAAGATCAAACCTATCCATTCTGAAGGAAATCAGCCCTGAGTACTCACTGGAAGGACAGATCCTGAAGCTGAGACTCCAATACTTTGGCCAACTCATGAGAAGAGAAGACTCCCTGGAAAAGACCCTGATGTTGGGAAAGATGGAGGGCACAAGGAGAAGGGGACGACAGAGGACGAGATGGTTGGACAGTGTTCTCGAAACGACCAGCATGTGTTTGACCAAACTGTGGGAGGCAGTGGAAGACAGGAGTGCCTGGTGTGCTCTGGTCCATGGGGTCACAAAGAGTCGGACACGACTAAACGACTAAACAACAACAACATATATTATACACACACACACACACACACACACACACTATTATTTTTTTCAAAAATTTTTATTGGTTTTCCAAAATTTTAAACAAACAAACAAACAAACAAACAAAAATAACTGAACTTCATCCAATCTTAGTGACATTGTTAAGTGACTTCCTCAAATCCCCCTAGCTGAATTTCACTGTGTATCATTGTAACAGTTTTCCAAAACCAATTTGTCTCATAATATTAACTTAATCACTTAACATCTTTCTTTCTTTTCATTTTAACTTTAAACATATTATTCTCTAACATCACATATTTAAATCCTAACCCTATCTGATATTTGCAAGTTTTTCCAGTTAAGTTATCTTAACGTATTTAAAGAAATATTCTTTAAATTTCATCCATTCTTCCTGGTACTCCTCCTCCTTCTGGTCGCGGACTCTTCCAGTCAGGTTGGCTAGCTCCGAAAAGTCCATCATCTTTGGATTTGATATCCCGCTTTATCACTACCTGAAGGAGTCTCAAAGCGGCTAACATTCTCCTTTTCCTTCCTCCCCCACAACAAACACTCTGTGAGGTGAGTGGGGCTGAGAGACTTCAGAGAAGTGTGACTAGCCCAAGGTCACCCAGCAGCTGCATGTGGAGGAGCAGGGAATCGAACCTGGTTCACCAGATTACGAGTCCACCGCTCTTAACCACTACACCACACTGGCTCTCATTAACAGCCAAACCCAACGAATGCATGTTCTTGCTAGTTAGGATGAGAAAGGGTTATATGCACCAAGCTGCGTTCTTGATAGGCCGATGCTCAGACCACAGAAATACAATTCCGACTAAATACATTTTCGACTGAACATCAGGAAAAAATTTCTGACAGTGAGCACAGTGGAACAGTCTCCCTCCGGAGGTTGTGGACTCTCCTTCGTTGGAGGTTTTAAAGCAGAGTTTGGATGGCCCTCTGCCATGGACGCTTTAGCTGAGATTCCTGCATTGCGGGGGGTTGGACTAGATGACCCTTAGGGTCCCTTTCAACTCTACAGTTCTGTGCTTCTGTGAATTGGTAGAGAGGGCTCAGTGTAATGTCATTTCCCCTCTTCTGCTGTAGACGAAGGAGCTTATCGTAATTCCTGTTCCCCCTTCTCTTCCTTCGACCAGCTATGAAGGCACACATGCCCTGTGCTTGCTGTTTACTGTAAATATAAGTATTTTGCCTGCATAGTTTTTAGTGCTGCCATTGCAGTGAACCTATGCAAGATTATAAGCAGGTAAATTATATTTTGAAACTTACTTCCCAAGCTGTTGCCTGATTCATTGGTAAGTAGGATAAGAGAGGGAGAGCTGGCTTACTTCATACTTGGACTTGCTCAGAACAAGGTTTTACAGCCTAATTCCTATGCTTTTAATTTTGATGGCAAGGGTAGGATTTTAAAACTCTGTTTAACCCCTACACATGGGCACCTGGAGGGATAAATTGCAATTAATATATTCTCTCATACCCATTAAAACCCACCCCACAGAATCCTTGGGTTGTATTCAACAAAATTATCCCTTTCACACAAGTACTTCCACTTGTACAACAGACAAATCTTCTCTCCATCTTCTACATCCTCCAATCTGTTCTGGGGATTCCCCAAATCTCCAGAGCAGTTGACTGTAGATAAATATGTTTTCCAGTTTGTAACCACTTTGGAAAAGCTGAGAGCTTTCCACAAATTCCTGATTCAAGTATTGAATGAATAGCTTGCTCGCCCCTCAATTCTGTTTTTAGTTAATACCCACCTTTACAACTGCCCTTTTTAAAGAACTTTTCCTAGTGTAAGAGCCAGGCTATGCAATATGCTGTTTTGTTTTTTTTAAAAAAATAATATTTATTAATTTTCAACCGTTTAAACACAACAAAACAGAAAGACAAAAAAAGAAAGAAAGAAAAAGAAAAAAAGAAAAACATAAAACTAACAAAGCAAGACACAAACCATTTCAAACACAAAACAATTTCAATGTCTTATCTTTCATTCCCTTATTTCCACGACCTCCTCACACCTCCCTTTTTGTTTTCCACTTCTATTAATTATTTCAGCAGTTCCTTTCCATCTTCCTCTGTTTTCTATCCTATAATTATCTTGACATATTCTAGCCTTATTTTCCCTTTAATACACTATTAATCTATTTATACTTGATTCCTTATAGCATTTCTACTAAAGCCATATAACTTCATTCCAACATTTTTCTAACATTCATTATTTTTACAGTATTTCTATAAATAGTCTTAAACTTTTCCAGTCTTCTTCCACCAACTCTTCTCCCTGGTCTCGGATTTCTGCCAGTCGTTTCCGCCAATTCCATATAGTCCATCAACTTCATCTGCCATTCTTCCCGAATGGATAAATCTTGTGTCTTCCAGTACTTCACAATGAGTATTCTTGCTGCTATTGTTGCATACATGAAACAAATTCTATCTTTCTTTAACACCAATTGGCTGACCATGCCCAGGAGAAAGGCCTCTGGTTTCTTCAAAAGGGTATAATAAAATACCTTTTTCATTTCGTTATGAATCATCTCCCAGAGTGTCTTAATCCTTGGGCATGTCCACCAAAGGTGAACTCTAATCCTCAAATTCGTCTGTTTTTCTTTAAGTTCAGTCATAGCAAGCGTCAACTTATGTTCATCAAATTGCCTCTGTGGGGCTGGGGCTCTCTTTCTCTTTCTCTCCAGTTGTGTTACTTTACCTTCAGGAACAACAGCTTTTCCCCTAACTTCCTCCACAGTTTGCCATATCAAAATAGGTTCTTGTATCAATTTCTGGGTGGTTTCTGTATTGGTATTATTTATACTTTCTGTGTTTAAGTTAGTTTTAGTAATTGAAACATCCATTTTCGCATTTATCATGTCCATTTTCCTGTGAAGCTGATCCAATGAGTCATTTATCTTATATAATGCAGCCACTAAAGCCTCTTCTGCCGACATGCTGTTTGGATAAGCCTAGAACTCAAAATTGCAGTTACTTTGCCTTGCTGTACTTCTAGAAGCATTGCAGAGCTAGCAAAAATATATAAAAACTGGCTACAGTGTTGAAAGAATTTAGTTTTCCATGTTTCATTTTATCTACTGTAGCTCTTGCTATGTTTTCTGAATGTCGCATATTCATTTTGAATTATTGTGAAGCCACCGCTGATTCTGTAGCATTCTTATTTTCATTGATTGCAATTTAAAGTGACTTGGTTAAGGGCTCTTAATTTGAAAGAAGATACTACTTCATGTCTCACTAACGATTAACTAAGTGGTCCTACTCAAAAATAATAGAAGCAATGTGATTTATTTAACATTAATATACCACTGAGAAGCAACCTGAGTGCTTTTTACAATGTGCTGCTTACGGCATGTGCTGACGATAATGATGTTTCTTTCCAAGCTAATCTGTTTTACAAAGAAAAGGAAAGACTAAGCTGGCCCAGCCTAACGTAGCAAATTTTATCAAATTTAGAATCAGCTCGATAGTTGAAAAGGCCCACTTTTTGAGGTTAAAGCAACCTTCCAGATCAGAGGAATGGTGTTCCTAATGCACTGTCTGGTTTCAAATTGCTTTAGGGCCTTTGGCACATCTTTTAGCATTCATTTAGAAAGACAAATGGTTACAATCCATTGTATCTAAAGCAAGAATATCAGTTCTGAGAATACCACACAGACCTGTTAAGGGGGAAAAGTAAACTGTGGCTCTGAAGTGCTCTGAAAATGCATTGCTACTTTAAAATATATATATCTCCAGACTCTTTAAATAATATTTTGAGTTCCTGAGAAGTCCAAACCCAACTTGTCACTCAGATAAGCCACCATACCCGAGGCCTGGAAAGTAGCCAATATTTAAAACAGGACCCAAGAAGATCTTGGAAATTACAGACCAGTTAGCTTAACATTTGTCCTTGAAAAACTTGTAGAAAGTATTGCCTCTCATAAAAGGAGTTGTGTGGTCAGATGCAACTTATATACTGTATATACTTGAGTATAAGCCGACCCGAATATAAGCCGAGGCACCCAATTTTACCACAAAAAACTGGTATAAACCAGCTGCTGCCACCACCACACCACAAACCTGGTGGTGGCAGCAGCAGCGGAGGAAGAACAAGCAGCCTGAAATGGCTGCTTTCAGGCAGCTCGTTCCTCCACCGCTGACGGCGGCAAAGGAGGAGGAGGAGGAGGAGGAAGGAGCAGCCCGAAAGGACCCTCACTCAAGTATAAGCCGAGGGGGACTTTTTCAGTATAAAAAAATGTGCTGAAAAAGTCAGCTTATACTCAAGTATATACGGTAATAATAATAATAATAATAATAATAATAATAATTTATTTATACCCCGCCCATCTGGCTGGGTTTCCCCAGCCACTCTGGGCGGCTTCCAAAAGAATATTAAAATACTGTGATACATCAAACATTAAAAGCTTCCCTAAACAGGGCTGCCTTCAGATGTCTTCTAAAAGTCTGGTAGTTGTTGTTCTCTTTGACATCTGGTGGGAGGGCGTTCCACAGGGCGGGCGCCACTACCGATAAGGCCCTCTGCCTGGTTCCCTGTAACTTGGCTTCTTGTAATGAGGGAACCGCCAGAAGGCCCTCGGTGCTGGACCTCAGTGTCCGGGTAGAACGATGGGGGTGGAGAAGCTCCTTCAGGTATACTGGACCAAGGCCGCTTAGGGCTTTAAAGGTCAGCACCAACACTTTGAATTGTGCTCGGAAACGTACTGGGAGCCAATGTAGGTCTTTCAAGACCGGTGTTATATGGTACTCATTACTCTTGATACACACACACACACACATGTACACATAATGTTTTCTCTCATTTTCTGTGTGGGAAAAGGGGAGAGAGGAACAGAGATTTATTTTCTGTTAACACTTGCATGTACCCTAACATGGAGATAGACTAAAAGTGGGAAGCAAGAAGGTCTGCCTCCTGCTGTTCACATGAATCCTGCCTGTTATCTTGTGCCTCATGCAACAAAGGAAAGAAATGCACAGTGGCATATTTGATTCCTTCCACCAACCCAGATGTGGACCTTCACACTTGAAATAATGATTTGAAAGCATTGCTTTCAAAGTGACAAAATCAGATCCCTTCCACTGCAGCTCAGCCACATAAAAGAAAATACATGATTAACATGTCAGAGTAATCCTTATCTGGGCTGCCCAGTCATTATTATTAGCCTTCGTTAGTTTTCTAAGTCATTAAGAAACCCCAACTGTTCAAGGTTCCTTGCCAAAGGAAGCCTGGAAGACTCAGCTATGCCTGTGGCAATTTCTTCACAAGCCTTCTACCACTTAGAAGAAAAAACGACTGTGATTATGTGAGTTCCTCCACATTTTTAATTTTACTCTTGATTAACTCCACTTCAGTTATGTTTTTCGTTATCCATGGCTGGATCCCCAGGATGCTAATTGCTACTGTAAAACTACAGATACTGCTGAGCTAATGGCATTCTGAGGAGGGAAAAACTTTGGAAATCAAATGAGCAGATAGGTAGAAACTGAACTTCTGAATATTTTGCCGTAGCAAGTTCCTTGCGGGCTGTCTTGTTTTTCTTAGTGTTTGCAAAACCTAGAAGAGGGTGTTGTCTCTTCTATTAGTTATTTTCCCTTCCCCCTCCATTTCCAATTAAGCTATCACATTTTATCTCCTAGCCATAGAATAGGAGAATATATCAGAATGTATTGAAATGGTTAAAGGTAAGGTTAAAGGTAAAGGTAAAGGGACCTGACGGTTAGGTCCAGTCGTGACCCACTCTGGGGTTTTGGCACTCATCTTGCTTTATTGGCTGAGGGAGCTGGCGTACAGCTTCCGGGTCATGTGGCCAGCATGACTAAGTCGCTTCTGGCAAACCAGAGCAGCGCATGGAAGCACTGTCTACCTTCCCGCCGGAGTGGTACCTATTTATCTACTTGCACTTTGACGTGCTTTCGAACTGCTAGGTTGGCAGGAGCAGGGACTGAGCAACAGGAGCTCACCCTATCGCGGGGATTCGAACTGCCGACCTTCTGATCAGCAAGTCCTAGGCTCTGCGGTTTAACCCACAGCGCCACCCACATAAGGTTAAGAATCAAAAATATAAATCTGTCGCAATTTCTATGTAAATAAGATGATATAGCAGGAACATTTCAGAATTCCCACAGTGTGACTTCCCCTCACCACCTTTGTATGTTTTGTTTATTAGGTTCCTTCTCTCATGGTAGTGATTTATTATCATTTACTCATTTATGTGCCAATTATATGCCAAAATGGCTTTTAGTCCCATGAGCAGTGAAATGGCCAAAGTGGATTGTTATGGATATTTGTCTCTCAGTAGCTGTGGGGGCTAGAACTCGGAATCTTGGGTTCTGGGTACAGGTTGGAATGTTTTCCTTAAAGTACAGTATTCACAGGCCTTTACAGAAAGGACTATAAAAGGCTTCCTGTATGAGCTCAGACCTTGTCTAAATTGCAGGGTCCTTCTGTCTCTGTCTCTCTATTGGATTGCACTGGGTTTCTGTTCTGCATAATAGCCAGCAGCTGGTAACCTTAACTTAAATATACATAAGTTACATACAGACTTTAATCAATGCATGAAATGAAATGAAAAGAAAATACAATGAAAACAACCAGCTCAACAACTGGAGTTTAGTGAAAATGAATTAAGAATTCAACATTCTATCCTCATGTGCCTAATTGACTAGAGTATTTTTGTAAGCAGCTGGATTGATCAGGGCAAAATAAAAATAGTGGCATAATAGTTTTGAGTTCTGTAAAGGAGCCGCGGTTCCCTCATTGCGAAAAGTGAGATTACAGGGAACCAGGCAGAGGGCCTTCTCGGTGGTTGGCGCCCACCCTGTGGAACGCCCTCCCATTGAATGTCAAAGGAATAAACAACTATCTTGACGTTTAGCAGACATCTGAAGGCAACCCTGTTTAGGGAAGTTTTTAATGACTGATGTTTTAATGTACTTTTAATCTTTTGTTAGAAGCCGCCCAGAGTGGCTGGGGAAACCTAGCCAGATGGCCAGGGTATAAACAATAAATAAATAAATAATACATTACCTACTTGACAGGTAACAGAATTATAGATGCTTTGGTTCAGGGGTATCCAGTGAGGGGCCAGACTCCCTCAGGATGTGGTGGACTCTCCTTCATTGGAAATTTTAAGCAGAGGTTGGGTGGCCATCTGTCATGGATGATTTAGTTGAGATTCCTGAATTGCAGGATCCCTTCCAGCTCTAAGATTCTATGAACCTGGTTCCCCCGTGCCAACGTTACAGATAATCTGCAAGCTGCTGTGCCATTTGTGTTCTTTGCTGATCTCATATCATATGTAGACGATAAGTATGTTTAACCGAGGAAGGAAAAGGTTACATGATGGGCACAACATACTGACAATTTTCCAATACAGTATAGAAAAGAATTTCATTACAATGGCTAGGTTTCAAAATAATAGTCTGCTCTCTGAATTTTTCTAATGCCCATTTCAATGCCTTTTGCTTCTGTCAGGGTGCGATATGTTGCGACCAAGCAGCAAGACCCCATCCATGAAAATACATCCACATTTTTCGTCACTCAGACCAATTTTTTTTTTCTTAATAAGTGTGAGATGCTTAATCGTGGCTTTCCCTTAATCTGCTTTTGTGACATTATGATATCTGTCCTCTCTTAGGTAAAGGATGGCAGAAAAGCCTCTTAAGGCTCTCCGTTAACCAAGATTTGTGTTCCTAATTCACCACAATTGCAATTTTCTCTCTTGGTTAACAGTGTCTCCATTTTCCTGTAAGGCCTCCTAAATGGGTGCCGCTTAATTGCTACCAAATCCAGATGTCTTCTTGAATTGCATGTCATCTTATCTCTCAATTTGTGCCAGTCACAGAGGATTACTGACACTTCTCAACAACCCCATCCTTTGTGCTCAGTGTACTATTTTCCAGCTATAGACGTTTTCCTGGAGTTTTCCGTATTTTTGTTGTCACTGCATGCTAGCTGCAGTGTGCTTTCCGGTGGTTCTGTAAGTATACATTTGACACTCTTCCTAGTCTTTTCTTGCCATCTTCAAAAAGACTCCTTGAGATGTACGTTCTTCCTTGTCAGCACTTTTCCTCTTATAGACAGGAGAAAAAAATAAGCATGAGATAGAACTTGCTGGCCAAAAATGGTAAGGGCTTTTTCTTAGGAAGATAGTTTGACTCCCAGCAATGCAGAAAAGAAGTGGGAATGGGAGGCAGTTGACAACCATGTACATAGACTGAGCACAATATTCAGTTTGGAGTCCAGCTCTTCAGAAAACAGCCTGATGCACGAGGCTACCTAATTTGGTTCAGAGTCTGATGTCTCTCCTGGTATGTCCCACAGAGGAGCTTACGGTCTTCAAATAAAAACATCCTGAAGGTCCCAGGCCACAGAGAGGTTAGGCTGGCCTCAACTAGAGCCAGGGCTTTCTCGGCAGCGGCTCCAATCTGGTGGAACGCTCTGTCACAAGAGACTAGGGCCCTGCGGGACCTGACATCTTTCCGCAGGGCCTGCAAGACAGAGCTGTTCCACCAGGCCTTTGGTCAGGGCGCAGCCTGACTCCCTCCTTTGGCAATCTGCACAGAATTTTTGCTTAATGGTTGCCATCAATTTGATTTTAATTAATTTTTATAATGAAATGTTTTTAGAATGTTGCATTATTTGATTGTTGTTAGCCGCCCTGAGCTGGGGAGGGCGGGATATAAATAAATTTTTTTATTATTATTATTATTATTATTATTATTATTAATTCAGAAACATGTAACTTGATAGCTCCTCCATTCACTATTATGGACAAATTAAAAAATGGACATAACTTTTATTGTTGTTGGAATTGAATGGCATTTGGAGGCATAGGAACTCCTCCTCAGCCTGCCTTGTTACAGACAAATAGGTTCTAAGGTGGGGGGGTTTTATGCTGGGAAACTTTAAAGACCAACCCCTCCAAATGAATAGTTTATAATGATTAGAATCATAGAGTCATAGAATTGTAGAGTTGGAAAGGACCACAGGGGACATCTAGTCCAACCCCTGCAATGCAGGAATCTTTTGCCCAACATAGAGCTCAAACCTTTGACCCTACCAACTCATGCTCTACCAACTGAGCTATCTCAGCCCTGGTTTTTGAACCAGTCCTGACTCCACAGGCACAAAGGATTATTGTTGTTGTTGTTTAGTCGTGTCCGACTCTTCGTGACCCCATGGACCGGAGCACGCCAGGCACTCCTGTCTTCCACTGCCTCCCGCAGCTTGGTCAAACTCATGCTGGTAGCTTCGAGAACACTGTCCAGCCATTTCATCCTCTGTCGTCCCCTTCTCCTTGTGCCCTCAATCTTTCCCAACATCAGGTTCATTTCCAGGGAGTCTTCTCTTCTCATGAGGTGGTCAAAGTATTGGAGCCTCAGCTTCAGGATCTGTCCTTCCAGTGAGCACTCTGGGCTGATTTCCTTCAGAATGGATAGGTTTGATCTTCTTGCAGTCCATGGGACTCTCTCTCCAGCACCATAATTCAAAAGCATCAATTCTTCGGAGATCAGCCTTTATGTTCCAGCTCTCACTTCCATATATCACTACTGGGAAAACCATAGCTTTAACTATACGGACCTTTGTTGGCAAGGTTTATTAATGTTAGCATTATTTGCAGAATTTAAATTTGCCAGCACGGTAGCCCCTTATGAAGGGATGGATCTTGCCAGATTTCAGACGCATAGCTCCAGTGGTTTTCCTTTGAGGACAGCATTTACATTTATGGGGTGGTATTTGACAAGAGTGGATGTGTTAGCGTGCGCCATAGGGGAAGAAGAGTCTGAACATCTGGCACCAGCAAAACTAACAAGGAGCCCCAGTAAAACCATTCCATCTAATTAGAAGCTAGATCTGAGATGTTTCCGTTTTTCCAAACATGCTTCAGCATTTTTTTTAATGTCCAACTTTCCAAAGCTCCCTGAACCACTTTGGATGTCCCTGTTTTGGTTTGGGGCACTTCAGAGAGTATCTGTTTCAGCTTGGATGAGCCCTGAATCTTTCCAAAACATTGATTCCGTTCTTCAGGATTCATCCAAATTTAATGCACACTCCACTGACGTTTTTCCTCAGTGGGTCTGGAAGACAAATGCCATCTTTGCTTTTATTTGGTCCAGCTGCCATAATGCTGATGAGAGCCTACAAGGCATTTGGGGCAAGGCAGCTCTGTTGGAGCTAAACTAGGTATGATCTTTGCTGTGCAGTTTGCCCACACAGGTTCCCAGCTATTTTGAGGCAATATCATCATTTTTAGAGAACAATACTGGCAACTGACACATGATGACCTGATAAAACAAGGAACTGTCTTACGAAGGATAGAAAATGCCGGTCAGATGAACTTAGACAGGTTCTTCTCATATCTTTTGAACAAGCACTGTAGAGATGCTCAGATTCAGGCTACACTTGAATAAGCAGAATGCGCGTGAACAGTCTCAGAACAACTTAAGTTCCTAAACAGTATTATATGTCGGTTTCCTGGAAAAGGGTTGAAGTGGTATATGTTGTTGTTGTTGTTTAGTCGTGTCTGACTCTTTGTGACCCCATGGACCAGAGCACGCCAGGCACTCCTGTCTTCCACTGCCTCCCGCAGTTTGGTCAAACTCATGCTGGTCGCTTCAAGAACACTGTCCAACCATCTCGTCCTCTGCCGTCCCCTTCTCCTTGTGCCCTCCATCTTTCCCAACGTCAGGGTCTTTTCCAGGGAGTCTTCTCTTCTCATGAGGTGGCCAAAGTCTTGGAGCCTCAGCTTCAGGATCTGTCCTTCCAGTGAGCACTCCGGGCTGATTTCCTTCAGAATGGATAGGTTTGATTTTCTTGCAGTCCACGGGACTATCAATTCTTCGGCGATCAGCCTTCTTTATGGTCCAGCTCTCACTTTCATACATCACGACTCGGAAGACCATAGCTTTAACTATACGGACCTTTGTTGGCAAGGTATATAACTTTTATTAAATTAATATGAGATAGAAAAGGTGCAGACCTGAGCACCCAAAACTTTCCTTTGAGGATAGATTTATAACGTGGTAGTCTACTGATATGATGAAGAGTTTGGGAAAGGAGTGGGAATCTATTTCTCCAAAGTTTAAGGGAAAAGCGAATAATATCCCCAAGTATTACACCATACTTTTATTGGCGCCAGGCTCATGCCCTGCATTTGCCCAATTATTCTGTTTTCTTGGACTGAACTGGGGTTAAGATAATGCATCAAAAATGAAACTATTCTTTGGTGTAAGTTAATTCTTCCCACACTTGCGTTTGGCTTTAGTGCTTCTCTCGCCAGGCCTGTCTCCCTAGCTTTCCTTAACCCCATTTATTTTCCATTGCTACCAGGTTTTCTTCTTCTGCAGTGAATACTATTCTGTCCCTGTTTATTTTGGATACATCTAGATGGGCTGTTTACTTTTCCATCCTCACACTTTATTATATTACTGACGACCATTGTCCCCTGTTTATCAGCTTTTGTCTCTCTGTACAAATGCTGTTGAATTGAAATAGCCTTTCGGGGAAACAAGCCTGCCAAATAAGCAAATACGGGTGGCACGAAGCATTGAATCACTTTTATAAAAGCCTCGCTGTTTGAAAAAGCTCGTATTTCTTATGAATATCAGATTCAATTTGCTCCTTATTATGTTCTCTGAATCAGAGTGAAATATGCATTTAATATCTGTACACAATTTGTTTCACTTTCTAGGGATTTCTAAAAGTGGATTTTAGCGTCCCACTTTTGTCACGTGGCTATTTTGAAAGGTTCAACGCTTATTTTAAAAGGATCGCTGTGACAAAATTTAGGAACTCTTGCCTGGAGGGAGAGGGTTAGAATTCCCCTTTGTCCCATCCATGCAGGGATTCTTGTTTCAAAGAGAAGTAAAGAACAAAAATTTCAGAAAGCTTAATACCAATTTTCCACCACCGGATTGGGTCATATACAGAGGGCCCTGCCCAGTCTTTTCTTTCAGAGAAACTGAGATGAGTTTAATTTTCTGTCAGTGGAATCAGCTCTTCAACATAACATGTGTATAAATATTCTTACATGTATAAATATTGGCTTAGACAAACTCCCTTGGGATATAGTCTTAAATGGCCCGTTATTGATTCCTGTGATGAGGTTAGAGCAGAATGAAATGAAAAGCAAATCTTGCGCTCCTTGGCTACATCGCTTAAAATGCTAGACAGTCGCCATCTAACTAATACAATACGGAACTCAGCCAATCCATAGATCTGTACTGAAACTTGCCTAGGAGTCATGGTATGGACGTTGTTGTTGGTCAAATTGACCCAAAACTAAATCTTAAATGGATTATGTGGGTGATTTTTTTTTTTTAAATGTCGACAGCTGCTAAAAATGTTGGCCAACGGTTAGATGAAATTATGTGTTACACATTCTACTTGCCATTTAAAAAGAAACGTATCTCTTTGCCTTTTAAGAAACCACACACCGATAAATTTGAGTGTTACAGGTGATGGGGCTAAGAAGCAGAGACTGCTCAAGACTGTGGAACTATCTCTGTTCAGGACTGAGAAACTGTTCCTCTTTGCTTGCATTTTGGAAGAGCTCTAGAACTTGTTTTCTTGTGTCACACATGGGGAATTTCCCCTTAAGAGTGCTCCTTTGTTTATTTGTTTGTCTACTCATTTATCTAATTTAGTAGGATTTCCCCAAGGCAGCTTACAGCTGATACAAACATTTAAAACCAATATCTAAATAATGTTTACCTTATTTAAAAAAAGCAGCATACAACAGTTTTCAGGAAGACCAGTAAAAAATCATAGTACCATTTAAAATCCAACCCATCATTTCAAGCGGGTTTTAAATAGAAGGTATTTCAAAGCAGGGAGGGAGGGAGCCGGATAGAGAGTTTCATAAGTATGGGGCCACCACAGAAAAGAACCTGTCTCTTGTGCCTGCCTGTCTCCTGTAATACGGAATTTTAAAAATCTGCTTTTTAGTGGTTATTAGTTGCTTTGGAAAAGCAGCATATAAAATCTTTAGATAACTAAAAGTGTCATCATGTCATCTGTCTGAGGTATGTCAACTGTCTATTTGTCAGCTGCTCTGCTCCTGGATCTGATATGGGGAGGGCAGCCAGACCCCTCCCTAGCATTGAGAAGAACAAGGGGAACTTCACCAAGCCCCTCCCGTGAGAATTTCAGCTGCTATCAATGGTAATTGATAGAGGAACCCTGAGGGAAGAACGATGTGGCAGGAATTATCCAGTCCCCATAAGCAGCCAATCCACATTTTTCTTCTTGTTCATTTTGAATAGAGACTATTTATTATTGAAATTGCTTGTAATAATGAATGAAAGCTGCTGAAAATGTGAATATATCCTGCCCTTGTGCATTGCCTGTTTGAAAACTTGAGCATGTCTGGCTTATTAAATAAAATGTTTATTTCAAAGAAAGTGATTGGTGTCTCTCACAGCTCACTTAAGAATAGGTTTTAATTTTCCCTGAATGTCTGCTGTGGGTTAGGGAGCTGGTGGCTGTTTTTAATTTTGCACAACCATCTAGCATAACATATGAAAAATAATTGCATTACGAGTGCTGAGTACATTTCATACCAAAAATGCATCTGTTCTAAATCTAGTATGTAATTGGTTGGTAGTATTGCAAAGCGGAGGGAGACGAGACAAACTGGAGGAACCCTAATAATTCATAACGTTGAGAATCAGCATTTGCAGTATTTTTGTGGCTTGCTGGGCATGGTTTCAGTCATCCTTTAAATCCTTTTTCAACTCAGTAGTTCTGGTGCTTCCTTAAACATGTGTGCAATGCCCTATGCTCTTGAGTAATGTCTTGGTTTTTTTTTTGGAAAACCCAAGGGGTTATACAGGGGTTAAGTTCTGGGCCTCTGCGTTCATAAGCAAAATGGGCATATGTGTGGAGCCCACTGCAGTAGTTAAAGCTTCCTGCCCAATAGCTGTTGTGTGGGGTAGCGCAGCAGCAGCGATAGCTCCCATCCACCATTTTGGAAATCTTTTTTGGAGTCGGTTTCCCCCCTGTACTTTTGGCTTGCTGACATCCTCTTCAGGCTCTTTGAGGGAGGGTTTCCTCATATGAGCCACTATGACTTTCCATCGCTCTCCTGCCATTTCAGGATATAATTGAATTATTTATTTCTGGGCGCAGGTGTCTGTAAGTAAGTCAGTACAGTGGACGCTCAGGTTGCGAAAGTGATCTGTGAGGGATGCATGTTCGCAAACCTGCAGAGTTCGCAACCTGCGTCTGCGCACGCGCGGGTCACGATTCGGCGCTTCTGCACATGTGCGACTGCCGAAACCCAGAAGTAACCCGTTCCGGTACTTCCAGGTTTCGGCGGTCCATAACCTGAAAAAACGCAACCTGAAGCGGCTGTAACCCGAGGTATGACTGTACTGGAGCCAAAGGAGGTGAGCTAAATGGTATCAGGTAAACATTGAATCTGCATCACTACCCAGTTATGTCCAAATAACTGGGAACTAGGAAACCAGAAAGCTAAAATAGCCTCCTTACTTCAGTAGGTCAGTGTCTGTCATCTCCTAGATCTGGTCTGGTAAGAGTCATGCTCTTGGCAAAACAAACTGACTTTGTCTTCCTCCATCTCTACTTTTGCCTCATCCCTCTCAGCTGTGCTCCCCCACCCTTTGTCTGAAAACACCTGGAACCATGATCCTGAAGCCTGACTGTACAGTATATGCATATGCATATATTTCCAAATTTTTGTTTTTCTTTATTTCAGCTACAGTAATCGGCTGTAGGCTGGGGGGAGTCAACAACAGAAGGTGCCTATAGTGATTTGTTTTTACTGCATAACAAATTACAGTTATCTGCGCTGGCCAATATGTCTGGCAGCATTCTTATTTCTGGCAAAGGAGAGGCCTTGGAAAGAATTGTTCATAAATTCCCAGGTACCAGATTCTCAGTGTGCACGTGAGATTTCTGGGAAGCATTGGTATGGAAGCCATTTCATTGGATGGAATGCTTGACTAAACTGGACACTGTGGCTATTAGGGAATTACATTGGCTCTGCTTTACAAATATGTATAATAAACAGCAACTATAAATGTGCTTGGGGGGAAAATATCAGTTGAGATGATACCAAATCCAAAGCCAAACCAGTAATTTATTAATATTATTCTACATTATGCATTAAAGTAAACGTCCCATTTCCAGGAACAGTGTTTGATTTCAACAGAAATCTGTCGAGTTTTTTGTGGTATGGGGATGCATTCTCAAGATCTTGAATTATTTGGTTGTCTTTCTGCTCTCCTTTCCTTCTCTCCTTTCTTACCACTATTAAGGAAGCTTCTGTTAATAGCAACTTCTTTGTGGTCTCTGGAAAAACTCCATTCTGAAATGTGTGGTTCTCTGACAGTGACCAGCCCTAAAATCCCATATGGGGTGTCCTCTCCCATTACATGAGGGTTTGAGGGCAGATTTCGCTTAGCTCTAGGTTCCAAACGCTCCTTTCCACAGGGGCAGACCCCCACTTGAGCAACAGCAGATAACCTCCGGGAGAACCACACTCACAGGTAAGCAACTTGTTTTTGCAAAGGCCTGCCCTTTCCAAATTATTGAAATCTGGGCTGCGTTAACTTCCTCAGTCTCGGAACTCTGTGCATCTTTATCTCCATTTATTAGTTCCTTCATTATGACACTGCATTTAATGCCCCTGCTTGACTATTACCCATTTAAATAGTTCATTCTTTAAGCCCATTTAATTCTTTATCTAATTGATTAATAAGCTCACAAGTATTATCTTATTCCCAGCACATTAGCAATCAGTGTCTCTGGGCCAGCCCCATAGTCTAATTGAAGTGCAGCCGAGTTTCTCTTTTCAAGGCTATCACAGATAAGGAGCCAGAGGCAAAGTGCTCTTTTCCTGCAGAGAGGAAGTTATTCACATTGCCCCCTAATGATCGCTCTTCTGGCTAGCATTTGTCTTGAGCCACCGATGAGCACTTAATTGGAAATATTTCCAATGAAATGGGCAGCTTTTCAGAGATCCAGTAGTGATAAGCAATAAATTGGATTCTTTAATATCCTCTGCCTTCAACCATTTTAATGGAAGAGCTAGCAGGAAATACTGTTTAAGAACTTAGGTTGTTGTTCTGCGACTGCTCATTATTCAAGTATAACCTCAGCCGGAGCGTATCTTTTATCAAAAGCCGCAAAAAGAACTTGCCTGAATTCATTTGATGGGCATTTTCTATCCAGTTCATTGTTTCATTAGGTCATCATGTATCAGTGGCAGGTAGCGTTATCCAAGACAGATAATATTGCCTCACAGAAGCTGGGAACTTTGATCAACGTATCAAAGGGCTCAAATGGGTTGTTGGTTTTATGTCACCTAAGTAATGGGGTGACTTCTTGTTTCTGTTAAGAAAGTGAAGATGCAGAGGTGTCTCATAGTACCATTAAGTATGGGAACCTGATCTGGCAGAACTTGACAACTTGATTTCTTTTGGTTATGTTTGCTGTAACAGTGGAGAAAGAGTTGGACACGACTAAACGGCTAAACAACAACAGCAAACAGTGGAATAAGTACTCACATGTTGTAAGGATATGCCCAGTTCATGCTTCTTAGTCCTCAAGATCTACATGGAGATCTATCTCACTGCATACAGTCGTCTGACCACTAGTTGGTGCAAGTGAAAACTACTGTCTTACTCTGTGTGGTTTTGTGGCACAAACACATTAAAAAAACAAAACACACACAAAAACGATCCACTGTGGAACAACCCAAAATAATTCACCTGCAAAACTGATCAATACTTTTACATGCACTTGTATTACTTTTATTGTTGCAAATCTGATTGTATATATTTGTAGAAAGCAATGAAAATGAAATACAGTGGTACCTCTGGTTAAGAACTTAATTCATTCGTTCTTAACCTGAAACTGTTCTTAACCTGAGGTACCACTTTAGTTAATGGGGCCTGCCGCCGAGCCGCTGCCGCACGATTTCTGTTCTCATCCTGATGCAAAGTTCTTAATCTGAGGTACTATTTCTGGGTTAGCGAAGTCTGTAACCTGAAGCGTCTGTAACCCGAGGTACCACTGTAATGATGATGTTCACTAATAAGAAGCTCTGGGAATCAAGCTTTTAGAGAAGGGAAAGGTCCCCCAGTTTCAGTTGGGCAAAAAATGCTCAAACTTGCCTTTTTCTTCCCCACAAATTCTAAATTTGCTCATAATTTCTGTCACCCTAAGAGGCCTCAGATGGCTGTGGCTGAGGTGGGACCTTCTGCTGTTTCTGTGGCACTTCTAGCAATTCAACACCCACCCACCCCAATTTTCTGCTCTTTCTCCAGCAGCAGCAAGAGTTGGAAAGACTGGGGTCTTCTCCTCTCAACCCCAACACATGGGACATTGCTAGGGCAGGTTGCACAGGGAACCCTGGGAGGTGCGATTTCCCCACATTGCCGGATGGAATGTCAAGACATCTAGAAAAATTACGCTTTCAAGGACTCCCTGCTGGGGAAAGAGAGAGTTTGTGAAGGAGCCATGAATTTTCAGGTTTTAGCAGCATCTGTAATAGGAATAGTTCAAATAAATATTCAAAAGGTACCTTCATGCATATTTCTCATTTGTATTATAGTATGCCTTTTGGAAAATATTTTAATTTGAAGAATAGTTGGCTGGTGGTGGCTGGTTTTTCATTTTTTGCCTTACCACTATAGAGTTGTGTGAATATCTGAACAGGCTGTTTAAAATACATAGTCAAGTGTTAAGGCTTTCGTTGCTTGTGGAGTTGTGGGTCGACTTGCATCTCCCAGTGGTCTCATCTCACGTGTTCTTTAGCATATCATTTCTCAGTGGCAATCTGCTGTTTTAGAATAGCAGCTTGTATGAACAACTAGTGAATAAATGGATGGTTTCAGTGCCACACAGGGTGGATAAAAATCAATGATTTTTAAAAATAAATAAATAAACAAATCAGATTTTTTTTTAATGTAAATCAGATTTTTAAAATAAAATGCTTTTGGAGGGAAAATCTTTCTAAAGATAGTTTTCTGTTTAAGTTGCATTATAGTCCAATGGCTTTTCATCAGGAAATAAGGATTTGTTTTAAGTTTTTCATGTGTGCTAAAACTCATTCTAAGTTGTGTGTTGTTGTTTTTCTTAAAAACAACAACCTACGTTTAACCACATCAGTTAACAAACATGGATACATATGCTATAATGTTATTGCTTTAGTTGAATAAATTGTTTAAATTGTTATGAAGGAAATGATTATTTTTCTCCTTCCGATAAAGTACAGCAGAAAAGTTGTCCAAATATAAACAGTTAACTTATTAAACCTCACAATAATTTCATAATTATCTGTCTATGTATTTCTAACAGTATAACCAAATCACTAATTTTTGATATAACTGTAAAAACTATTCTGAAAATTTATTATTCCAAAAATGAAACCTTCCTCTGGTTGTGAAATATTAAGATTATACTAGCAAGAATGAGTCTTTCCGTAAAAAAAAAAAGATTTAAATCAAGTCTTACTGACTAGTGATCTAAATCAATTTGATTTAAATCACATCCACCCTGGTGTAACATGTTTGTTTCTCCTTTTGAAAGAAATGGAAATTACTTGAAAATTAAAGACATCTTGGGAGCCCTACATCTACTTGTAGATAAAAACAATCACCTAAGTGCAGAGCTCTGCATAATGGTAATGCATAGAGGCAATGCCTCCTGCAGTTCTGTAAAGGCAGAGGCTGTCCCATTTCATAGAATCATAGAATCATAGAGTTGGAAGAGACCACAAGGGCCATCGAGTCCAACCCCCTGCCAAGCAGGAAACACCATCAGAGCACTCCTGACATATGGTTGTCAAGCCTCTGCTTAAAGACCTCCAAAGAAGGAGACTCCACCACACTCCTTGGCAGCAAATTCCACTGTCGAACAGCTCTTACTGTCAGGAAGTTCTTCCTAATGTTTAGGTGGAATCTTCTTTCTTGTAGTTTGGATCCATTGCTCCGTGTCCGCTTCTCTGGAGCAGCAGAAAACAACCTTTCTCCCTCCTCTATGTGACATCCTTTTATATATTTGAACGTGGCTATCATATCACCCCTTAACCTCCTCTTCTCCAGGCTAAACATGCCCAGCTCCCTTAGCCGTTCCTCATAAGGCATCGTTTCCAGGCCTTTGACCATTTTGGTTGCCCTCCTCTGGACACGTTCCAGTTTGTCAGTGTCCTTCTTGAACTGTGGTGCCCAGAACTGGACACAGTATTCCAGGTGAGGTCTGACCAGAGCAGAATACAGTGGCACTATTACTTCCCTTGATCTAGATGCTATACTCCTATTGATGCAGCCCAGAATTGCATTGGCTTTTTAGCTGTCGCGTCACACTGTTGGCTCATGTCAAGTTTGTGGTCAACCAAGACTCCTAGATCCTTTTCACATGTACTGCTCTCAAGCCAGGTGTCACCCATCTTGTATGTGTGCCTCTCATGCTTTTTGCCCAAGTGCAATACTTTACATTTCTCCCTGTTCAAATTCATCTTGTTTGTTTTGGCCCAGTTCTCTAATCTGTCAAGGTCGTTTTGAAGTGTGATCCTGTCCTCTGGGGTGTTAGCCACCCCTCCCAGTTTGGTGTCATCTGCAAATTTGATCAGGATGCCCTTGAGTCCATCATCCAAGTCGTTGATAAAGATGTTGAATAAGACCGGGCCCAAGACAGAACCCTGTGGCACCCCACTAGTCACTCTTCTCCAGGATGAAGAGGAACCATTGATGAGCACCCTTTGGGTTCGGTCAGTCAGCCAGTTACAAATCCACTGAGTGGTAGCATAGTCAAGACCGCATTTTACCAGCTTCTTTACAAGAATATCATGGGGCACCTTGTCAAATGCCTTGCTGAAATCAAGGTAGGGAGTAATGAGCAACAGACCTTCTTCCTACTTTCATAGAATCATAGAATCATAGAGTTGGAAGAGACCACAAGGGCCATCGAGTCCAACCCCCTGCCAAGCAGGAAACACCATCAGAGCATTCCTGACATATGGTTGTCAAGCCTCTGCTTAAAGACCTCCAAAGAAGGAGACTCCACCACACTCCTTGGCGGCAAATTCCACTTATTTATTATTATATTTTATTAAGGTAATTATGTATTACTATATATTTATTAAGACTATGTTAGCCTGCCCTTCATCAAAGGAACCCAGGGTGTATTACAGTGTTTTTTAAAACAACAATGTGAACAATATCAGAGCAGAGCAGAACAGTAATATGGTTGACGTTTTATAACATAAAAGCAATCAATTGCAGCAGCAGACTTCATTGGTGCTGGAAAAATCATGTGTGCAATGGAGATACATAGGCTAATAGAATCCTAGAGTTGGAAGGGATCTAATCCAGAATGCGGCAGCTGGACTGGTGACTGGGAGCGGCCGCCGAGACCACATAACACCGGTCCTGAAAGACCTACATTGGCTTCCAAGTACGTTTCCGAGCACAATTCAAAGTGTTGGTGCTGACCTTTAAAGCCCTAAACGGCCCAGTATACCTGAAGGAGCGTCTCCACCCCCATCGTTCTGCCCGGACACTGAGGTCCAGCGCCAAGGGCCTTCTGGCAGTTCCCTCGCTGCAAGAAACCAAGTTACAGGGAACCAGGCAGAGGGCCTTCTCGGTAGTGGCACCCACCCCGTGGAACGCCCTCCCACCAGATGTCAAAGAGAAAAACAACTACCAGACCTTTAGAAGACATCTGAAGGCAGCCCTGTTTAGGGAAGCTTTTAATGTTTAATAGACTATTGTATTTTAATATTCGTTGAAAGCCACCCAGAGTGGCTGGGGAAACCGAGCCAGATGGGCGGAGTATAAATAATAAATTATTATTATTACTATCCTGAGTGTCGTCTAGTCCAACCCCATAAAATGCAGGAATCTCAGCTACAGCATTCATGACGGATGGCCATCCATTACATTTTTGTAGCTTCTCTGCCCAAGAAAGCTTCTCGAGATACCTTTCCTTTCTTTCTGCTGCTAACTAGGAATTGGTTATATGAAATGTCTTTTCCCAGTTCATAAATTATTAGCATTGTTGTTAGTGTTTTAAGCTGTAACTTTTATGGGGTTTTTATGGTGCTGTATTGTATTTTTTTTTTTTTAAAAAAAAGATTTTGGTTTGTGACCAGCAGCTGTTTTAAATGAAATATGAACAACTCAAAAAGTTGTTTTTTTTAAAAAAGTAGTATTCCCAATTTTAATTATTTCAAGGATGCATCTAATGTAACAGAGGCATAGTACATGATGCTTAACTGCATCTGATTTGGAGCCACGCTTCAAAGGTCTGCATTGGTTTCTGGAAGAAAGAATCAGCTTAAAAAAAAAAGTATTGGGTTGTGTTTTTTTATAGCATTGATGTATTCTTTCTTGTCCTGTTCCATTAGCAAGAGTATGAGACCTGCTAACTCTAACATACAGGAGCAGCAACTGAAGCATGCATTTGTATAAATGAAAGCGGTTGATATTTCTAAGATTGATGATGGCTTTGTTTGATTCTGCCAATTTTTCTTTTGGCAATTAAAGATTAGGCTTTGGGTTCTCCTTTAAATGGCTTGTGATTACATTAACGAATGAGTGGAAGAACAAGAACAATCAGAATATAGCTTTGTGTATTTTTACATCAGCTAAGTAAAAGCAACTTTCCAGAGGAAAGTTATTGTTTCTGTATCTCAAGATTTTTCTGCAGTATGAGGGTCTCTTCCCCTCCATGTATGTGCCCACAGATGCCTTCTGTGTCATCCACAGAGTCTCCTCTACTGTTACCCCATGCAGGAAGGGCTTTTACACTCACCAGAAGCTCGGCTCTGCCCTTGCCAGTCCTGGAAGGATCCTTTAAAAACAAGTCCCATATGCTCAGAGACTTTGTGCCTGTTCATTGGGGGAGATAGGAAGTCCAGAGCACTTGTTCTTTAGATGTCCCTTTTATGAAGAGGCATGTAGTGAGACCATTGATCTCCTGTTGGTGAGGCTCACTGACCTCCCGGAAAAGCAAAAAGTTGACCTTTTCTTGTTAGGCAAAGCTCATAAGACGACTCGGATGGTCGCCAGGTTCTGTGTACAGGTCTGTAGGCGCAGACCATCCCCCAACCCAAACTAGTTCGTTAAGAAAATCCCCAAACTCGGTTCCGTGGGTGACTCTGGGTCATCTCTCTGCGGTAGCTCATCTTAAAGTTTTAAGCGTCTATACGCTTATCGCATTTATAAATTTTAAATTTATTGTTGTACATTGTTTTAAATGTTTGTTTTCCTTCTGGGATTGTACCCCCAAGTGTGTCTTATAAGCTAGTCTCCGACTGTAATAAATTATCTATCTACTGTCCCCCCACTGAAATTACGCTTAAACAAAAGCATACTGTCATAGCAAATATAATAGATTGTGGTGTGTGCACGGTGCCCACTAGATTTTATCAAGTTACTGATTATTGCAGCAGTGTATATGAAGTGTTTAGAACACTGACATAACACTCCTTTCTTTCATTGTTTTTTCCTTTCTTTCTGAAAAAGCCTTCACACCAGCCCGAGACTTCTTAGAAACAAGTTATTTCTAGTGTTCTGGAATTATCGCAGGAGTCGAACAGTTCATGTTTAGTGTTGGGGTGGGGGTGTGGGACAGTTTTCATTCCCTTTTCTAAAATGGTGTGTTTTCCACAATTTTCACTTATTGACATCAGCACAGACCATTTGATTTTTTCCTGCGATGCGATGAATTGTGATCTCACCACATCCAAGTATTCAAAAGACAAGCTCAGGCAAGCTATGCCCAAAGTGACAGTAATATGGTGTTACAAGAATTTAAGGTCTCAAATATATAAATTAAATGTTCATAAATGTACAAGACAAACACGTACGTAAGTATATAAACCACGTATCTGAAATAGTATAGGAGAGCAATCGTGAAGCCATTTTGACTCTCCCAAATTGATCTCAAATATTTCTCTGCAAGGAGGAAGGAAATGGGAAACCTTCCCCATTGTCTCTTTGCCCACAAATCCTGTCTTAAGGGCATATCTATGTATGAATAGAGTGAGCCTGTGACCTGGATTCAGGAACTGAGTATTTACCATCACAAAAGAATGGCCAGGATGCGCAGGTAAAAGCAATCAGTGACCATTATCAGGTATCCTGGTAGACAGGATTCTGCTGTAGACCACCTCTTCTGTGGTCCAAAGCAGTATGTATGATGTATTGGAGGGTGGCCTTGAGCTACAGGGTGGCATTTTCAAAAGTCTATATAAGAGCTTGCATACCAATGTTCTGGGTTTCTCTTCCCTTCTCCTGTGTGTGGTGAGTGGGGACCCTGTTGCAACAGTTGAACAAAGATCAGGCTTACTAGCTGCTTTGCTTCTCAATATTCTCTGGTTGGCCTCTTATTTTTCTCCTACCGATAGAGAACCTACGAAAGGACTCTACATGGGCTCTTGGGTACCCCATAAGGGAGAAGGAGCAGTTTTTTTCTTAGAACAATGGGATATTATCGCAAGTCGAGATAATAAGAGCTTGCCTATAGATCAAGCTGATGGCCCATCTTGTACAGCATCCTGTTTTCGCAGTAGCTAACCAGATGCCGGGACGCGGGTGGCGCTGTGGGTTAAACCACAGAGCCTAG